TTTGGTTTCCCCTACTTGCTGCATAACCATGTTGTTTCTTCTTTACTGCTCTGTGCAACTGTGAGGGATATGTTGGCTTCCTTTTTTTTCGTTTGCGCTTGATCATTACGCATAGGCGTTTGATGTAGACGAAGGGTTTGTCATGGTGTTGCCGTTATGTATAGGCATACACACATATGCACACGCGCACTCAGAGCATAGAGTATACACATGGAAACCTATGCATTGAGGGGGCCGTTAATAAGCATAAAACGATGCCCCGACACGTGACGCGGTAGCTGAATGAATGGTGTTGCGCACTTTTGCTCGGAAATACATCTGGAATGATGACACCTGGTGCCCAACGGCAGGAACTCTGTTACAGGGTGATTCGGACGATGCGTTTTAGAGTGTCTCTCGGTTTTCGTACATGTTTTGAGTAAAGTTGCTACGTGTCTCCTCGACACACTTTCTGCTTCCATTTTCTTTCGTCTCCGGTGCAGTCCTTTTCTTTTTTATCTATCTATTCTTTCCCTTTCCCCTTCCCTTCTTTTATTTTATTTTCTTTTCAAAGGCCTCTTTTCGCTAAGACGCAACATGACTGCTCGTCCATCCGTGAGCGTGTACTCTGCAGCTGAGGACAAGGTGGTGGGCACCTGCCCACTCCCCGCCGTGTTCACGGCCCCCATTCGCAACGACATCGTCCAGTTCGTGCACACGAACATGGCGAAGAACTCACGCCAGGCGTACGCCGTAAACCGCCTCGCCGGTATGAACCACTCTGCGGAGTCGTGGGGTACTGGCCGCGCTGTTGCCCGTATTCCCCGTATTGGCGGTGGTGGTACAAGCACCTCAGGTGCTGGTGCTTTCGGTAACATGTGCCGTGGTGGCCGCATGTTCGCGCCCACAAAGATCTTCCGCCGCTGGCACCGCAAGATCAACCTGCACCAGAAGCGCTTCGCTGTGGTGTCTGCGTTGGCTGCCTCGTCGCTGCCATCGCTGGTGATGTCCCGCGGTCACAAGATCGAGAACGTGGCTGAGGTGCCACTGGTTGTGGAAGACTCCGTGCAGGGATACGAGAAGACAAAGGAGGCAATGGCTTTCCTCAAGGCAATCGGAGCTATTGATGACGTGAACCGCGTGAACGACTCTCGCGAGATCCGCGCTGGCCGCGGTAAGATGCGCAACCGCCGCTACGTGGCCCGCCGTGGCCCCATGCTGGTGATGCCAGACAACAAGGGAACTCGTGCGTTCCGCAACATCTTTGGTCTTGACCTTGCCAATGTGAATGCACTGAACCTGCTGCACCTTGCTCCTGGTGGCCACGTTGGTCGCTTCATCATCTGGACAAGGGGTGCGTTTGAGAAGCTCGACAGCATCTTTGGCACCTTTACGGAGGCTTCTGCAGTGAAGAAGGGCTTTGTGCTGCCTGCACCAATGCTGACGAACACTGATGTGACTCGTATCATGCAGTCTGAGGAGGTGCGTCGCGTGCTGAAGCCAAAGAAGCTGCAGCCAAAGAAGCCGAGCCGCTACACACAACCAAAGAACGGTATTCGCAACCGTCGCCTGCGTCTGCGTCTTAACCCCTTCCAGAAGAAGGAGACTGGAATGGCCAAGGGTCTGCGTAACAAGCAGAACCGCGACGCCCGTCGCAAGGCGAAGGCTGTGCGTGTGGTGAAGGCCAAGAAGAGCGCTGCCAAGAAAGCCAAGAAGCAGTGAGATCCAAGCGAAGGAGCGCCACACTAGCTGGTGTTGATTTCTTTTTTTTTTCTGCTTTTTAAATAAAATGTTTGGTTTCCCCTACTTGCTGCATAACCATGTTGTTTCTTCTTTACTGCTCTGTGCAACTGTGAGGGATATGTTGGCTTCC